CATCATCCATCTGTCAATTTCCCCATTATTATAGAGTTCCTTGAGCATATTCTCCAGTGTCTAGTTGATCTTTGTGGTTGGATCCTTGCTTATTATTTGATAAGTGTTCCGGTCGCCAAGGATACTTTCCATTTTCTCCGTGTATTGTTTCTTGTCCATTACATCTGTCGCCCTCCCCTTATCCGCTTGAAGAACTATTTGATCATTCTATTGTATTTTTTTAGAATACTGGCAAATATACTCCATTTTATCGGTTCATGATATGTCAGGATTTGTGGGATTATTTCCAGTTCCATCTCCCGACTTGTATCTTCTGGATGTTTATCCGTTATGTTGACAACTTCCACCAGGATATCACTAAGAATGTTTCCTTCATTACCTGATGAAAAATGTAACCCCTTCTTTAAGAAATCCGTAGTTTCAGAATCATAATGGATTTAAAATAGATTTATTACCTTTGTCCTATCGTCCTCTGTAGAACCATAAAAATTTGCCCGGGTTGGCTTGGTCTTGGGCTGTCTTATTATCCCATAGCTAAGCAATTTCTTGTCATTTTGCTTATATATCAGAGTCTTCCATATTGTTACGTAGTTCTCCTTCCCTAGGTCTTATCACAGTCTTTCCCTTGCCCCGTAGGATCCTCCTGCCCTCTCCCTGGTTCACATAATTCACTCGACCACTGCCACTCCATCTGTTCCAACTTGAGGCGTTATTGGCCCTACCCTGCGTCTAGGTGACTAATTCGAGGCTCAAGCCTCTGAGTAAGTGTCATGGTCATGCCTTTGCCACATGGACCACGTCTTATAAAACCTACTGTCAGCCCACTAGCTCTTATCACTACAACGTCTATCCTCTTTCTATCCCTATTACCAAGTCTATGACTTGCCATGCCCTCGTCTCTTGTGCGCCAACCTACAAACGTTGTGGTTCAACATTAAATCTAGTCAATGTAAGCAGTACCACAACATTTGCATCAGAGATAAAAACAGGATAGACGCGGCGGCGATGGGAGCTAGTGGTCTGACAGTAGGCTTTATAAGATATGCGAAGAAAAGTTGGATTTCGAAGATTCTCTTGTTTCATAATTATTGAGCTTACTTCCATTTCAAGTGAAAGTGTTGGGTCAAGAGATTCGAAGGTCGCTTCCATCCGAAGGCGAAGGCGGATTTCTCTCGACCAGCTGTTGATTGGCTTTACTTGAAGATTCATGCTGACGGATGTCATATGACGGACATCATCAGAGAGAGGTAACATCGTCACAACAAAATTTAAGCTTACGAGTCAAAAATCTCACCGGCAAATTCCTAAAAGTGTTATATATACTCTACATCCGGCTTCTTTGATCAAGTATAAAGTGATTTTGTTAGTTAAGCTCATATGTCAACTTCGATGCATGTGAGTGTGTCTGTCTCTGTATTTGTATGTGCCTGTTTATGTTAGCTTATGCATGAAACCCGAAGTGATTACTCAAAGTAATTAGGACAGCAAAAAGGAACGTCTGTTTTGTCCATCAAGGTTTGATGATCCCTATCTCCCCCTTTTTACATTTCGGTTAAAACCATCACTTTGATTGCGCAAGGTCGAACACTCGTCTGATTTTGTTGATTAACCTATTTTTTGTTTTTGCTATTAATGCGAGAGAGAAATAATTAGCTAAATGTACAGAGAAGTGACTATCATTAGAACCCAAACAAGAAAAGACTAGTTGCGTCGCCTCCTATTTTGCGATACCATAATGTTTGCGTGAAATGAGGATATAGGAAATGTGAATAGGCAAGGGCAGAAGGGGAGATACCATAACTCTTTAGCACACGTTTGGTCAAAGGATCTGCTTTATTTGTCTCTTTGATGAGTTGTGTGGTACTAAGACTGGCGAGGCTTACTAACGATGCCGGCGAAACGTCTGGGAATGTATGACGTCCACGGTCAGACTTTGGAAATGATTATGCATATAATGGACTCAGGACAAGGTGCGTTTCTCTAAGTCTTCATACAAATATGACCGAGTTGCCAAAACAAGGTCAAACAACTTCTATATTAAATTATTCCTACGCTAAGATTTAAAACGATTTTTTTTCGTATCACAAAATACTGTTTTTAAAGGAGGCCTTTGTCTGGAAGTAAGTAGACTAGACACTTATGTTTAGGTGTATCGATATATTTTCGCTCTTTTGTAGGATGACTAATGCAGAGATATGGGCCAAAATACGAGGTAAACGAGATAAATATTTTGTAAGGAATCTAGGCTACTCTATTAATCCATGTGTATGTGCACATGTAACTTACAAATAGGAGGACCTTCTGGTAGAATCCAGTATGATATTTTATTGCTGTATTTCATTCAATGTCAGCCTTTATTGAGATTCCAGGTCCATAGGTTACAATTTTGATTGTGAATTCTTTGAATCTCAACGTGATGAGGAGTTTAGATATGCTATGTAAAATAAAATTAAAATTTCAATAATTGTATTATGGGTTTATTAAAATTAAGATGTAAAGAAGTTGTTTAAATTTTTTTTTGCATGTATTTGGTTGAAATCTTTTCTAAATTAAGTATTTTAAACAAAAAATCTACTCTGAAATAAGTAAAACAGGTATTCAATTGTGCAAAGTTAGGAAATTTATGGTAACTAAATACTAAATAATAAAGTCAGCTCTTATCATATCATTGTGGGAAAATTCTACTACTAGTCCTTCATAACCTTAAACGAAATAGGGAGAATATATTTCAT